CCAAGCCTTTATAGTAGTGATGTATGAAAAATCGAAATGGTGTATTTAAGTGTTTTACACTCACAAAAAAGAAAACTATCATTCTATAAGTATTTGAAGAACTTGTAGCATTCTGCCACAATTTAATTCTTCACATTGTTAGCCGACACTGGGCAGTTGGTACATAATTGAATAGAGTTGTTTAAACATTTGTTTAACAACAAGTAAAAGTTTGGAATGGTCTATTCTTTCATTAGGGGGGGGGTGTCTGTGAGCCAGACTAGTTTCGGAGAATTCCACTCCTTATCAGTGATCCTGGACACTACTTGTTGTTAAACAAATGTTTAAACAACTCTATTTCGATTTTCAATAGCTCACTACTATAACGGCTTGGTTTGGTCTGATATTTGGTCTGAAACTAGTCTGGCTCACAGACACCCCCCCCCTAATGAAAGAATAGACCATTCCAAACTTTTACTTGTTGTTAAACAACTCTATTCAATTATGTACCAACTGCCCAGTGTCGGCTAACAATACGAAGAATTAAATTGGGGCAGAATGCTACAAGTTCTTCAAATACCTATAGAATGATAGGTTTCTTTTTTGTGAGTGTAAAACACTTAAATACACCATTTCGATTTTTGATACCTCACTGCTATAAAGGCTTGGTTTGGTCTGATCGGGTACCAGTGCCCGATCAGTGGTTACCAGTGAAAGTGAGCTTTTTTGGGGTACTCTCGTTTCCCCCACATTAAATTCTCGGCATAGGATTTTTAGATCCCCGCCGCCCTGATGGACTATCTGTCCGATATCGGCCGTTTAGTTTACTTTGCTCTTCACTTTTTTTATTGTCTACAGTTATTCTCTCTTTACCTTTTTAAAATTACATATCTCGTCTGCATTAATTTCTTATTTTCTCAAGTTAAGCCCATATTCCTAGACCACGAGCGTGGTGAAGGAGGATTGTTTAATCTTCGAGCATCCCAGATTAGTAATTATTTCTTCGGAAATAATTATTTTTAAATCTAAATAACTGCCAGGAAAATGCAGTAACTTTCTCGAAATTTCGAAGATCGGTGTAAAGAAAAAAAAAAGTTTTCAAATGTCAGGCAAACAGGAATTCGCACAATGTTGGGAGATAAATGTAATAATATAAAATCATTACAATATTTCGAGCAAATACTTTTCCTCAAGCTTACATGAAAATGAAATTAGGTCTGGCGAAGTATGGTTGTTCGAAACATGCTAGATAAAATATATTTTGTTTTTATTTGAATCATTATGTTTTACAGTGCTTTTAATTTAAAGGAAAAAGTTCTTAAATAAACAATTACCATAATTATTATTCTAAATCACCTATCGCAAGTACCACGACCCTCATAGAAATGTCAATGCTCTTTAGGGCCGTTGAACCATCGTTAAAGTAATAATAATAACACCGAAACTAAACGTTCCTTAATTAAAACTGACATAAATAAAAAAAGAGCCTATTAGTGTGACCTTATATTGTGCTGCTCGAGCATTCGTTACGTTGGTCACGTGGCAGGATGGATTGTTTACCGCACAGATTTAAAAATAAGATGAAGTGAATAAATTTGTACGAAGTGCTTAAAACGTTCGTTATGTAAAAATCAAAGGAAGTAACCTTTGTGTGTGTTGTTATTTCTATAACAGATTTTTGAGGAACTATAATAGGCACGGCGTTGTTTCACTGTTTTCGTTTTACACCCGTAATACTTAATATAACATTCATGAGTAAGAGAGCTTTATTACTAATAGTATTAGTTCTACCTTTAGGACTTTTCTCCACGAAAGAAGTAGACTTAACCAATTGTATACCTATCTTCCAAGTTACAACAATATAACATTAACAGTAACATAGTTACTACCACTGTCATTAGGATTAGGACTGTGCTATGGCTTAAACTGTGTAAATGTTATTCCAAGTTATAAAACATAGTGTTCTAAGGTATATTAATTTCATCTTTCTGTCAAAAAAAAAAATCATATCTATATGCTAAATGTAGTTTCTAACACTTTTAATTATATCAGGTCTAAGAGTAAGACTAGGAGTAAGAGTCTAGACTCTAGAACATTTCATTAGGGCATCCCAGTTGTAGCCACGTTGTTACAAGTGTTTTTTCTGATTGGTGAATTTTGTTACTAGGTTCCCCACTACCTAATTCAAGTACCTGAGGGTACCATCCCACCCCTCCCTCACGAAGAGGGATAAAAAAATTTCAAGTTTAGCAAATTTTATCTCGCAGAGAGATCAAGAGTTTGACAAGTAGGTACTTTAGTATACATCATTACATGTAAAATCTGAATAAACAAGTTATATGCAATAATGGTGCATGCATTATGTTTGCAAACTTTCTAGTTATAAAAGTTGTTTTGAATTCAAATCAATTTTTTTAAACTACCATAAATGTTTTTGGAGATGTAAATAGTTTTCATTGTAATTTATGTAACATTGTCCGTGACCCCCCCAACCTCCTGTAACACAGTAATACAGGCTTAAGTAGACACCCTCTCACCCCTCAAAGCATTACATAATTTCTTATTGCCCCAAATGATTGGACAATATACGATCTATTATCATTCATTATTATTGTCACCAATCAATTTTTTATTTAAAAAACTATCTGTGACAAAATCAATATTTGTAACAAAAACTACCAGGTGACAAAAATGATGTAACATGCATGCACCTGTCAAAAGTTGTCCTAGTAACAAAGTGGCGGTGATGAAATGTCCAGTAACTAAATGTCTAGCTAACCGATATGAAAACCAAAAATAAATGCAACTTGTAAGCGATATTGTGCCTAACTAATCTACCAAGTGACAAAAATGGTGCAACAAATATGCATCTGTCAAAAGTTGTCCTAGTAACAATGTGGCGGTGATGAAATGTCCAGTAACTAAATGTCTAGCTAACCGATATAAAAACCAAAAATAAATGTAACTTGTAAGTGATATTGTGGCTAATTAATATTTAAAATTAGTTTAAAATTTGCATCATAGATCCATAAAATAGTTAATTTCAATATGCAAGTTGTTTGGCATAGTAACTAAATTAGACAGTTTGATAATTGTACTATTATTTATTTTCATTAGCTTAACCATTTGTACTTTTTATGTTTTTTCTTTTTTTTGTTGTTAGAATTTTTCATTTGGATATTTCATTTGTAAATTCTTAGGTAACTAACAGTGTTATTAGAAATTTATATCAATATTTCATTAAGCAACCATGAAATGGTATTTCATCATAATATATTGAAATTAAAAAACAATTCCCTTAAGATAAACAAACAACATAAGACTAGCACTTTCTACAAATATATTTATCTTGAAAGCTGGAAAAGAAGGTCCACCTGTTGAAAGCAATGCAGTTTTTATCCTTCTTTTTCATTAATGTTTTATATATATTTTTCAGTTGCAATCAAAAACTCAAGGAAAATTAAATTTTCTTCTGAGCTACATACTGTATGTTTCATTATGTGAAAATCCTTGAGGTTGTTGCACATGCTTCAGTTAAAACAAAAAAATCTTGGGAGGTTATTTTCAGCTAATGTTATAATGGAAGTGACATAAGTGTAGAACGTGAATTACACAGTATAACTTAAGTTTTTTATACAAATTCAAGTAATGTAATTTGGTGAGTTAGATTAAAATTTGAAAGTGAGGTACTAAACATATAAACATGTCTTTTGGTATTCAGAAATTTATAACTCATAATATGGAAGTTATAAATTTCTGGAATGGTCTGCCTGTTGCTATATTTCATTAAATTCATCTTAATTCTTAATGTATCTTGGATAGGTGTGTGAATGCAAAGAGTTACACTGGAAAGTGGATTTGTCATATTTCTTTTTTCTTATTTTTTTAGTGTGTACTGTTTACTGAATAGTTCTCTTTGTCTTGCTTTCTTATGTTTCCAATGAAAATTGAACAAACTTGGTACCACAACTTGCCTGTTGTCATCATATGTTTACAAAAATTAAGAACACTTACTGAAAAATATTAGTTATTAAAAGTGACAGTAGGTCATTTAAATAGGTAATTATAAAGATATCTGTAAGATGAAATATTTTAATAAAAGACTGTCACCATTCTTTATTTTTTACAGGTTTTAATTGTTGAGAGTATAGAAAACTGGAGGATAATTTTCTGGAAGAAGTTTGAAAATGACTTTTTTTTCCTTTGATACAAACAAAAAATTCTTAAAACAGGCTTTTTACAGTGCTGCTGTAAATCTTTTTGTAGGATTTGTCATACTTGTGGCAATAGCAGTGTACTTTATCTTTAAGCCTTTTTTGCAGCCTTTGCTATGGGCTGTTTTATTCGGATCAGTTCTCCATCCCTTCAAACAGAAAATGGCACGGTTTCTTAAAGGATGGATCCGAGATTTGCAAGAAAGAAATGCTTCTGTTACTGTACAGTTTTTTTATTTCCCTGGTGTTTTTATCGATTCTATTTCTGAAAGATTGGGGCATTTCATTTTAAAATACATGTTGGTACTTCTAGTAATTTTTATTGGAATACCAGCTGTGTTAATATATTTCCATTTTTTTCCTGTGGACATAGTAGCAGTTTTGATGGTAATCTTTCATAATATAGCTTTTCTACTGAACATCTTACGCAAATCTACTGTTTTGGTGAGTTGAATACATTTTAAGTAAATATATTTTTTGATATTATCTTTAATGGTTTGTAGTGCTCTTGATCTTGATATTAAAAAATGTAGTTTCTGTTTAAGTTGCATAATTTTTATAATGGTTATGAAATGATGACATATAATGAATATTGTCTTGTAAAATTGACTTTTCTTTAACATATCGCAAGCATTCATTAATATTTTTTATTTATAATGTAGTGAAATGGTTATAAACTAAATTGTATTAGACTTAAGGTTGTTCAGTATGGTATACAATACACATACAAGTTAATTTTATACATACCTACATATGACATGTAAACACAATCTTTGTATACAAAGTGGAAGAAAAAATTACTGTGACTATGTTCTGCCTTATATAAAACACGTATATATGTATAATACTGAAATTGAGTAAACTTGGTAACATAGATGTAAGGCCCATATCCAGTTGTTAAGTAAACTTCAAATGAGATAGTATATATATAGGCCAGCTGTAAGGTTGATAAATGTATAGAGAACAAAGATTATCAGTGATTTATATGTTAGCATGGGAAGAATAACATTTGTCATCTATTTTGATTTTAAAATCTTTAATGTGAAATAACTGCTGATAAATTTGAAAGTTACATACTTTTTTCTGATGGCATTTGCTTATATATATATTTGATTTTTGTTTAATATATTAATAGGTTGTATTTAATTATAACTTACCAAAATGTTACTATCAGTGCTGGTTTTAACTGACTTTTACATCCTTTCTTTCAGGTATTCACTCTGCTGTTAAGTTACATTATACTTGTGAACTTCTTGCGGCCACAGAGATCACACGCCATCTTATGTTGGATCTCTGTAATAGTATGGTGTGTTTGTGTATTTTATTTTGCTGCTTTTTTTGGCTTTTTGCAAGTTCCTGTTTCCTTGTGTTTTCTAGTACTGCTTGTAGCAGGATTTCTGATTGAAGTTAAGAAAAAAGAAAATGATGAAGTTCAGGGTAAGAATTTCGGCAACAATAATTGTATATTATACACTTTAGTTTTCCTAGTTAAAGGGTTTTAATCTTGAAGAGACATGCAAGCAAGAAGACCATATTTACCACATGAGCTGATATTTTTTGACATAAAATGATAAAGCTTACCCTAAGTTATTAGAAGAAAACATCATGCAGTGTTTCCTCTATTTTACTGTTGAGTGGGTGAGTCACTTGGTAATATTAATCTCTGACCAGATATTATTTGTGGTGACCAGACAACTAGACATCTAAAAAAATGACGAAGTAGGACATTTAGACACCTAATAATTTTAGAGGGGTGTTAAAACTTTGCAATATAATAAAATAAACCTAAATCAAAATAGATCAAATAATGTAGATTTTTAATTTTGATAAAATAGGCCTAGATCTGTACAGTTCATATAATGGAGTAAATTAAACTGGTAATGTAGTAGGCCTAGATATATACAGGTCATATAATGGAGAAAATTATTGTAATTATTGTTTTTTGATAAACAAGTGGTGTCTAAATGTTCTACTTCATCATTTTCTTAGGTGTCTAAATATCTGGTGTTTAGGTGACCTGGATTAATTATTTGTTCTGTTAGGGTAATGACATGAAATAGACTGCAGCAATCTAAAATTTTGTCCAGTTAGCTCAATATGTTTTAATATAACATTTGAAGTACTCTGCTGGCACTTCAGGCTGTTAATAGAATAAAATTAGGTTGCATGGTAACCCTTTGCACTTTCTCTAGTATACGACCTTTGTGGTATGATTGGGTCTGGGCAGCTCTCTGGTTTCTCCCCAGTGGGAATTTGGCCTTTCATTGTATTTGAGTGGAGCATGGGAGACCCTTGACACTCTCGATTTCTAGTTTCCGGGGTGAGCGATGGAGAGTTCCTCTCTTTGTTCAATTCTCCCTAGAGAGAGAATCTAAGTGGCAGCACAATGCAGTGGTAAGTAGGACAGAGGTGTCCATGTCAATGTAGTGCAGGACAAACAATATTGTATAACATTCCAATTTCCTGGTAGTTTGGCCAGCCAGATGGGCAAAATGTCTTTCTCACACCATATATGGGACTTATTCCTTGTTCCAATATGTAAAGTTTAGAAATTGTACAATGGAACACGTATCAAACTGTATGGTTGATCGTTGGCTTAGCCACACTACACATCATGTCCAACCAACCTGTTGTATGCAAATATTTGTTGGTCATGTCTTTTTCCACTCCCTGTAACACATGGGATCATTTTACCTTTGTACTTTCACACTTCCTTCCAGATGAAGAGTATACTCAGCATGAGGTGAATGCAGTCTCCCACAAGTGTTACCCCTATAATAAACCCCTACTATAGGATGTAACTCTCCATGGGCTTTCCCTTTCAGTCACTTTTTGCAAAGGGAGCTCATCTGAGCTTTTGCACTTGCATTGGCCCCTTAATCAGATCAATGTTGGATTATAGTTACTGTGTGGAGTATATTGCTTTGGAAGTTAATGTTTTCCGTACGTGAAAATGTATTTCCAATTGGTACTTGCCTCTCTGCACACCTTCCCACTTTTTCTACCCACTACAAGTGTATATTATTCTTGCCTCATCTAAGAATGAGGTTAATTTCAAATTCAAGTATGCGTGGGGATCTGTTACACATGGAAGATGTGTCATTCTCTTATTGGTGGAGGGCTATTGTTGCATGATGATTACATCATGCACTAGCACAGTTTACATTATAATAGGAGTCTTAGATAGCTCAAGTCTAGTGGCATGCACAATATATCAAAGGTAGATGCATGAGGAATGACACTGTGTGTAAAGAGGTAAGTATCTATCAGAAAGGCATTTTAGGTAAGGAAAATATTATTTCTGGCATGATCCCTTAACTCTTCTCACAGTGCTGCCATCTATATGCAAAAACTTTTTGCATGCCTCAAGCATTAAACCCCCACGTAACCTATGGTCAATGAGGTTCACTGTGTCTTCCACGTAAATCATCATGCAACAACCCTGTACCAAGAGGAGTGTGACACACCCTCCCAATGCATGAGACTCTATATTTGTTTCTACCAAACTAACACTTCTTGTTAGGCAGTGACCTGGTGCAGAAATTTTTCAATTGTGCATTCTCTTCACGTATTCATTTATTTTGTGTGTGTGTGTGAAGTAGTGATTTAACTTAATTATTATTTTGCTACAGTTGGTTTTCTTTAGTATTTTGCCATGGTAACTTATCGTTGTTTATCGATTTTATTTCTCCTTTTCGAATTCTTCACACTTTAAGATGAATCCTAAAGTTTGTGTTACAACTATTTCAAGTGCCATTACACTGGCTTCAGGTCAGAGAGTCCTGACTGAGGAAATTTCGGCTATCATTCATCGGGAGATTGATCTTCTTCTCCCAACAATGTTCGGGTTCCTTCTAATCATCCAAAACTGTTCATGACGAGGAGGATTTTGACAGCCCTTTCCCTCCACCTAACTATGCCATTCCTTCCCAAGCCTGTCCTGCAGAATTTGCCAGGTCTAATTCAGCCTTTTTGGATATGATTTCTTAGGGGTGTTCTATTTTATCAATTTCACGATTACATATGATCCCATTCCTCCCTTGCTACATGACATCCCATTCTTAGAGTACCTTGTTTTCTCTGTTTCTCCTGACATCAGGGTTCATGCTGAGCATTTGATTTCTCAGTTGAGGGCTGGTGTTAGCAGGACTAAGCTTCCGATCATTATGCTTATCATTAGGCTAATTAACTATTTCTTGATTCTCAACATTTAGAGTCACTTTTGCTAGTGAGGAGAGCTGACCCTGAAAATTCTGTCTCTTTCTCCCACACCCCTGGTTTTCCTGTCTTTGTCTTACCCTTACAGCTTACATGCTGTACTTGTCCATCATACACGTCCTTTATGAGGCACTCCACTGATTCCCTGAGGGGTTTTCTGGGGATACCTTTTCCCTCATTACCTCCACATTAGCATGTTTGTTCTCAGCCCTGTTCCTTTGTTTAGTTTTTTTGCTGTTGGGATCTTATTGGGAGGGACACTTTCTTGTCAACAGGTTCATCTACTTTCCACTTTATGACTTACAGATGACTCATTTTTTTCATCAGTCTATTTTTGGAGATATTCCTGAGTATTTGGAATCACATGTGGATTATGTGAGATAACCTTTCACCCTTTCATCTTTGGTTGCTCGTTTGTCTCATTCTGATCCAAAGTCCTCTCCCATAACCATTTCTTATCTTGCATCCTCTCATCCCTTACCAGTTCCTATCACTAGGGGTTCAACACTTTGTCGTGTGTCTCAACTGTCAAGTGGTTTCTTCCTCTCTTGAGGTTTATCAATTTAAATGGAACATCTTCTGCTGTTGGTCTTTGAATCAGAGTTTTTCCCCCCTACTTGGCCCACAGTTCCTCATATTACAAATTTCCTCACCTGGCTGTTCGACCAGGGGGGCTTCTGTCTCTTCTATAGCTAGTCATTGAGTAACCCTATCCAACACCTTACATTTTTCCTGGTAACATTTGGGGTTTTCCTCTTTTACCATCTCCCTTTTATTGTGTTCCTTCTGGATGCATAGACTTCCTCATTGGGTGGTTCTTCAATGCCTTACAATCGTGCTGTTTAAACCTTGTCCTAATTTTCCTTATTTCACTTTTCACTTACGACTTATTTCTTACTCCTTTTTGCCTGTGAGCATCGTCTTTCTGATATCTTTGCTATTTACATTTCACATACACTCTTCCATTCCACATATGTTCTCCTTTAGCTGGATCGATCTTTTCTACCCAAGACTTCGATGGCTCATGAGGGACATTCTTCTTTCTTACTGATTTCACTTCCTTCTATTTCCCACCTTTATTTCCAGTCTGATTTATATAGACTTCTATGTCCTGTACATGCTTTTCGTTGTTATATTGCCTGCACGGCCTCCTTTCGTGGTTCTCGTTCCTGCCTTTTCATCCCCTGGCAACAATTCTCTGTATGTGACTTTTCTCCTTCTACCCTTACAAATTGGATTTGTTAGCAGATGATTAGATTGACATATTCCTCCTTGTCTTCTTCTTCCCAAAATCTTTTTCAGGTGTTATTGCATCACATCAAGTACCTTTTCCATAGCATTTCACCTCCTTTGTCCATTTGAGGAAATACTTCAGTTGCGCATGCAGACTGCACCTCATACATTGATCTCCCACTGTTTTTATCAGGTGGCTGTTTCTTCCTCATTGGGGTACTGCTTTCTGCCATCCTTCAAACTTTGGTATGGCTGTGACTAGCTTAATTATCTTTTCCATACATTTTTTTGCCTTCCAGTTGCACATCCCATTTTGGTTAAGAATCCTGCTCAGTGGTGAGTGTTGCTTGTCCAGGTATGCTACCTATTTCTTAAATTTGCACTGTACAAACAAGATTTAAACCCATAGCCAATAACAAACACTGCTGAGGTGGGGTGTTCCACAAGATTGCTAGTAGGTTTTCCTCATGATATATTTGCTTCATAAGTATGCCCATTCTGGACCTATCTAACCCAGGACTTACAGGAATAAAGCAGAGGAGTATATCTGCCCATCCCTTTGATTGAATAAATGAGGAGTGGTCAGCTTATCAAAATAAGGTTTTCATGGTCACCCGTTGCACTGTCTCTGATGTTGACATTCTTCTGGATTCTCCACTGCATTTTGTCCCACCTTGTTTTTCTAGTGGAGTATGGGAGTCCTTTTCACTTTCCAGTTCCGTGCCACTTGCATTCAATACAGAGAAGGGTGGTGGTGTTCTGCTGGTATAGATAGCACTTGATCCTTCAATCATGCACTCCACCTCCATGTGATGAGTTCTAGAGGTTGATGCTCTACCCAGCTTCTGTGCAGTTCTGTCTGGAGGGAGAGGTTGTGTATATTTTACAGAAGTCATCCACTTCCGTGTGGTAGTACCTAGAGGTTGGTGTTGTGCTCCAACTTTAGGGCAGTACTATCTGGAGGATGATTTTGCTTGGTGTAGATCCGTCACATTGCAGTTCACCCCTCTGATTGCGATCCCTGGTCCTAACCTGGATATTGGTTCGCAGTGAGTGGTTTTGGATTAGAGCTGCACCAATCAACATAAATCCTTACACGTGTTGGTTGTGTTTCCTCATCCTAACTCAATTTTCAGAGTTTTGCCTCATATTCTCTACCTCCATGTGGTGGGTCATGCACTTCAATTTCTGTGAGGTTCTGTTTGGAGGATGATGTTGTTTTAAACTCCACCTCAGAGTTTCCCCTACCTGAGGTTACTGTTGCACAGTGGGGTACCAGTCTAATTGGGTTTGGTTTGATGTGAACTGCTACACTGGCGCATCCCTTCCTACCTGGTTCCCACACATATGGTTGTGGTTTTGGATTTGCACAAATTTGCCTTGTTTCATTGTTTGGTTTTAGAAGTATATACTTCTGTTCTACTCAACTTGAGGTGAAGATGGTGTGGACTCTCCTCCTACCACGAGTTGGAAGTGAACCATGTTGATTGTTGGGTACATTGGAGTACAAGGCTTGTAGCATACAAAAAGCTTTTTGCATACAGAGGGCAGCACTGGACAAGAATTGCTATACATTAGTAGTGAGTAGAAGTAAGTGCCTATCAGAGATATATTTTTAGTATAGGAAAATAATAACTTTCAACAATGTTGCTTATCGCACATGAAGTCGCATATGCCATGGAATTCAAAATGACAGAGCAGTTCAATTTAATAATGTTACAATAATACTTTAATGTACTTCAGCTAGATTGTCTATTTTAACATGTAGAAAATTTTAACTGCAATTTAAGACTATAAAATAAAATGGAAAATTTCGTTTGATTGGAGTTTAGGTGTGGCAAATGTATCCACATTAGTGACAAGAAGCATGCATTTAGTATGAACAGCCTCATAAGGTGACATTCCTACTTAGTGAAGAAGTAAGTTGAAAGTTTTTTTAAAGGAGAGAGATATCTGTGTTTAGTGTTGGTTAGAGTGGGTGACTGATAACATTGTGCCTAGTTGATGCCTTTGCCTATAATGATGTTTGAAGACTTGAGAAACACTAGGTTTTCACCAGAAAAAGGCTTATTTGAGATTTGGGAGATTAGTTATCATATTTCTTTGTTCTTGTTAGCTCTTGGATTTTGTTTCAAGAAGCAAAGAAATGTATTTGATGTGATAGTATTTGGTTTCCTTTGTAATGTATGGGTTTCTGCAGTTTGTTTCAAAATTTTAGAAATGATGAATTCTTAACTAGTTATTGGTTTTTGGTCTTTAGCCTGAAAATTCACAAGACCTTAGATTGGATAGAGCCATTTTAGTTTTAAGTACTGTTAAGGATAGTTGTTAAACACAGACTTATTTTACTGTATCACAGATCTGGTATTTTTGGTTAAGTGAACAATTGTTTTGAGGGAGTAGTCGTCTAGTAAAGAAGCTAGGGTACTTCTTGTTTGTCTAAATATTTTATATAAATATACAATATAATTGCCACAACAGTGTTAAGAATTATTCCAAAGTCATAAGGTTATATGTATCATCTTTAATAAATAAATTGCATTATTAGTATTTTCTACCTGCATTGATTTTTCAAAGGGTGAAATGATTTTTATTATTCTCTTCCACCATTGTGCCTGAAGTTTTAATTGCGCCCACATTGAAATAAAGTCAAACATGCACACACAGCTTCTTGATTTAAAGTTTACTCTGTTTTAAAGCACACTTTGTCTTAGGTCTCACCTACCTTATTGTTGCCTGTGTAAAAAATACCACAGTAGTCTGTCTATTAAAAATAAACACTGAAACAAGTACACCTTAAAATATGGCATTACATTTTATGTTTTGTGAAGACTGTCCAGTAGCTTTTTTTTTTTTTAACTGTACAAAGATAGTAAGTGTACCAAAGAAAACTTTATAATTTGAGTATATTTTTCACTTTGCAGGATATGATTTGGCATATGTACATATATATTATATATATCCTAGTGTAACATGTATACACATGATTAACAGGAATGTACTATGTATACATGTAGCCAAAAAAATCTCTGGTTTACTTAGCATACTGTGTTTCAAGTAGTTAGCTGTATAGAATAAATATATTTATTTATTGTGAAAACTTGACAGGTAGTGAACAACCAAGTGATTCTACCATTGTTACACATTTGAGAAAGCGTCTGATTTGGTTGACTTCTGATGACAAAGAAAAGGATGTTTCTTCAGTAAGTTAACATGAAGTTTGTAAAATCAGTTGGATGTTATCTTAGTGTTTTACTAATGGGGTTGATCTTAACTCAAGAGCAGTATATTTTTTCCTTATATTGCAGTGCATTTATAAAGTGCAACAATCGTATGACATTTGATGCAAAGAAACGTGTTTAAAGAGTAGATTTCTAAATTAAAATGTTTCACAATTTTTACCATCTAAAATGCTATTTAATACATAGAACGTATTATATGTATCTGAGAAAGCTACCACCATTATTGAAAAACTATTACGTGAAATATTTACATACTGCATACATGTCAGAACAAGGGGTGGTGGTGGATACGTGCCCCCAATAATTAACTTGAGGGATCCGAATATCATTGGGCTCCACAATATTTTGATGACAAATATTTTTATTTAGTCTTTTTCTATGTAGTTGACTAATTGCCAGCCAAACGAAAGGAGATAACAGTTCTTTGGCAAATTCTGAGTATTACTCTGTTAGTGACTTTTTCTGTATCTGTATAATTTGTTACTGGTTATTATCAGAAAAAATCTTATTTCCATGGCTCGTGATTTTGTAGTGCACAACAAACACTTTAATTTATATTTTGCATGTTTTTGTATGTACAATACAGTACTTGTTATTTTAAAGCATTTTTATATTTTATATTGTTAAGGCCTTTGCTATGAATGTGTGATGTCACATTAGAACTTTACAGATGACAATTTTTTAGAGCATAGTGAAAACACACTGATTCATTTAGGCCTAATTACTTGCTGTAATTTGTAAATTGAAAGTGTACATATCTTATTGCATAAAATTTGTAGTTTCTCATAGATGAAGAACTGCAAAGTCTTTAGACAGCAAAACTTTGCAGACAACATTTTATGCAGCACAGTGAAATCATATTGATTCATTTAGGCCTAATTTATAAACAAAAAAGAACAAAAAAAACTTGCCAGCAATTTGGACAAATTTTATACAGAAGTTAGATAAGTACATACTTTATATGCTTATTGGTATGATCACATGATTATGGACTGTTAGATTATATTCAGAAAATTAAATAATTTCTAAATCCTATTCATATATTATTGATTCTTAAAATGAGATCCAAATATTCAGTGAAATGTTATACTTTAAGATTTACATGTAGGCCTGAGGATATAAACTAAATACACCATGTGACAGTGCTAATTAATCAGATTTTAGTAAAACTGAAAACAGAGGAGGGGGTAGAATAAAAAAATGTTTGACTCATAACAGGTCAATAATTGTTCAATGATAAACCATAAATTAGTGTGTTTTTTAATTGAGTATTTTTTTTATACATATAAATTTTTCTGTGCACATCAAATTATTATATCACAAGACATATTTTTTGCATGGAAATGTATTATTCTAATGAATGATTTTTTTTCCTTTTATTTGAAAAATAATATTATCATCTATAATTTATCAGTTAAATTTTATGATGATTGCAAACACCAAGATTTTTCAGTTTTCGTACACCTTAATTAATTTTGAAATATGCAGAGATAATTTAATTTCTGATATATTAATATAAATCTAAGTACTACAATATAAGACACTAGGGAAGTTTCAGTTTTCTGTGATGTAAGTTTATCATATATAGAAAAAAGTTATTCAAAATGTTGCCAGTTTTCTCTTGTTAAGAAATTTCTGGTAGAGATGCTTCAGTTTTTTTATATTTTACATTAGGTTAAATTAAATTGTAGTTTTGGCATGAAATACAATATTTTGTAAATATGTGATCTCACGATATTATGTGATAATGTATTTGCGTAATGATAATAGTATAATAAGCATAAAATGGAGACATTTCTTGGCTTAACCAACATCAGTAATTTAAGACTTAATAACCCCTTTATGTATAAATTTACAGCTTTTATATGAATTAAAAAAACTGGATTAAATTTTTATGAAAAACCTGCTCATATCAAATGGATTTTCTAAGCAAAGTTTCAAACATTTGCCACCATATTTCCTGCTATTATGCATACAAACTGAAAACATTTGTGTATATTATTTTATAATACATTTTATCTATTGTACAATGTAGAGTACTACAGTTACTATGATCTTAGTAGTGTATAAATTGGTCTATAGTGAAATTTAAGAAATGTACACTTATCTTTGCCAAGAAATAGCCTCAAAGTGTATGAAATACAAAGTTTTCTGCAAGTTAAATGACACTCTTTCGTGCACTATTCAGATTAAATGGTGAAAAAATACAAAATGTAATAGAACATGGTACTGGCTTCAAAAACAGAAGTGCTACTGTACTTGGAATTTCAGAAAGAACTGATACTGAGCTACTGTGAATACTGGCAAAATTTCATCTTTGAAGGCATCCATAAGTTATTGCTCATGCTATGCCATGCAAGAAAGCATTAATGAAAGACTTGCATGTAATGGAAATGGTAGTTACATCAGTGCTATAAAGGAAAAATATACACATTTCAAAGCATTGGTTCTCAGTGAAGTCAATAACATCAGTTACTAACTTTTTTATAAGTTGATCAGTAGCATGCTTCTCTTATGCAGTGTTTGCTCAAATAAACCCGTTACATTACAGTTTTACTGTTGAGTATAACTTACTGAAAATTCAAATACACATATTTTGCGTATCAAAATTGTTAGTAGTGACATACTGGAGAAAGGCCCACGTTTTATGCTGAAGTAACAAGTGAAAGATGGAATGTTAGTGCCTAGTGATTCCATTAAAATGAGTCTGTTATAACCAAGATTTCCAACAGATGGCTCTGTATGTCTCTTTGTTTTGAATAATATACTTGCGATGTGTGGAAAAAATAACTCGGAGATTAAATGTTAATTATTATAAACTATTAATTATTATTAGGCACTGGATACAAATTTGCTCTTTAAAAATTTCTGTCTTAATGCAGAAAAATATGGTTATATAATGTACCTATATTGATAATGAATAGTTTCAAGATGTACAAAACAATTTTACATGAATTACTATTTTATTTTCCCATATTGCAACAATGACATTCAATGAGTATATCATATGTTACTAAGTTTATTCTGTATATAGAGAATTGTTTATATTTTATATATAATGTAGGATGTTTCAGCAAACTTCACTCAGAATTTATTATTGTCAATTTTTAGATCTTTTATTTTAAACATGCAGTGGAATCAACATAATGTCTTTATCAGTTATAGTATTAGAGCTTAATTGCTTATGTTAAATTAGTTAATATAATTCAGTTTTTAACTGAGAGACTTCTACATGCCATATTTTAGAGCACGGTTGTAGAAAGCACATCTGAAGAAGTGCAACGTCGTGATATATCTTTTTCGGGGAAAGAGCAGACAAAGAAAAAGCCTGTAGCACTCAGCACTAAATACTTGAAATGGTTGTTATATGCTTGTCTCACAGTTAAATTTTGGATGAATCTATGGCTATTGTATTTTCTGCCATTGTTCTTGACCTATCTTGTTGTGAAGAAACTTGGTAAGCAGTGTATTTTCTCTATCTTATAAGTTTAGATTTCTCTCTCTCTCTCTATATATACATATATATATAAATATGTATATATATATATATGTGTGTGTGTGTGTATGTATATATATATATATATATATATAAAGTAGAGTGCATTTGTCCATCTGGTGTCACAAGATGTTGGGAGGAACAGGCGAACTAATTTCATTGAAGTTTGATAGAGGAACTCAGATAGACCCTCCAGAAATCAAAGATAAGCAGTGAGACAAATGGTTTGAGTTTCATAGCCATTTAAGTTTTAGCACCGTAAAGCAGCAAATTAGGGCTCAGTTGAGTGAAGAGTTTGGTAGCATAAAATGAAAATGACATTTATCACTATGCGTAGCATAATACATTTGCATAAGATAAACAGATCATATGTTATGTCTCAAAAAAAAAGTAGTGAAAGAGAGTAGCAAACACCCTAATTTATAACATTGCTTTTTAAACTTACATGCCATTGCTTAGTATCTTTGGTAGATTATTCTAAAAGTCTATAGTGAGCTAGAACAAAATGTAAAATGCTAGTGTAGAATTATTTTCTTTTTTTTCAAATTCAGGTGATTTTAAAGATTTTTTTAAAGTTGTATGTTGATTAGTCAACTAACACTTGTTTTTTAAGATTATCACATTTATGTACACACAAACTATGAAAGTTCTATAAATTTTAAGTATTTTCAGGGTCTGTCTCTTTACTAAAATATTTTTTTTTATACTTTTAATGTTTATATCAGCTAATCAGAAGCTTAATTTAGCTTCTGAATGTCTGAAACTTCAGTGAAGATAATTTTGCCTCCTATTATTTCTAGCATCTTATCTTGGAGTGCTGAGATTTGTCAGAGATAAAACTACAGCTGTTAAAAATGCATTTGTTAACTGGTTTAAGAGAAGAAAAGTTGTGTTGTGTCCAACTCCAATACAAGGCCTCTGGAGGATTATTGTCCTATGTGATAGGAAAGTAAGTCTCTTTAGCTCATCTACATTTTGATGTTATATGTTTAGTAATTTTATTTTAAAAGCATAGTAATTGGTAAATGCTGTAAATATATAAGCATGTAATATATACATATTGATATTGATAGGCACTGTTTAAAGACATACCAAAGTCTATGAAATAATACTGGTATTTAGAAATGTTGAGGCAAGAAACAGTTAACTATATTAAGCCACTTTTGTATCTAGTAACCATCTAGCAAAAAACGACTAGTCTGCTTGGTTTTCAGTATTGATCTAACCCCCCCCCCAATGTAAAAAACTAGTAATGCTTATCGTGATTTAAACAAAATATTTTATGTAAAAAATGTATGTTAATATCAAAGACACTAAAATAAAACTTCTACAAAATATTATAGGGATGAGCTTACTAGTACAAAGCAAATAATAAATTCTTTACTTTTTTTGTAATTTTTCCAGTGTTTCCTGATTGTGATTTTAGAAAACTTTAGCTATTTAACTCTTCACCAATGAAACTAAAAAAATAAATTGGGTAAAATGCTTTACCTTAGTCTTAGTCAACAGGGTCAAAATGAAATAATAAAACTGCAATATTGAGTGTTCTCCATGGGAACAGAACTACTATGGATTGCTAAATAAGTTTGTACTTATCACTAACCATGCAATTCATGTGCATGACTCTATCATTTTCGATTTTACACTGCAATTTCTTTGATAAATGTGTAAAAACTTTTCATATGGAAGTTAATATGAGTTTATTCTGTCCCTATGCTTATTTTACAGTTAAACTAATTGTTAATTTCACCTTTCTATAACTAGTTTAAAATATATGTTTATTTAGATATAATCAGATATTTTTTCTAAATTTATATGTGAGCATTCTGCCTTTAGTTATGGCATCCATGTTAACCATAAGTAAAAATGTCATAAACATTTACCAGTCCTTTTGCTTAGGATTATGTGTGGCAATGTCTGTCTCACAGAAGCTTGTCCTATTTCAACATGTGTCTGTGTCCACTCCTTGGGTGGGGTGAGGTCATCTCAAGGGGTGAAACAGATACTTGTACAAGTTGACATGAGTAGGGGGCTTTCTCTTTTTTATATGTTATTTGAAATAGACACTGATATAAGTAGTCTAAGGATTGTATTACTTAAAAGTGCAATATTTTATTATTTTTCCTGTCCTGTACAGAGTTTTTTAGTAAATCTCCTTTTTTCAGGAGGCAGTTGAAGCTAAAACAAAAAATAGAAGTGAGACAGTTGGTAATAAATTAACATAAAAAAATGTATGGATAAAGATTTGTTTTATTTCTTCTCTTGTGTTTCATAACGATGAAAATCAGAAAATTTCTCAAATTCTTCTTCAGAGGAGAGAAATTTTCATTCATCTTTTTTGTTGTTGTTGTTATGTAAGAAAAAAGCTGTTGTGTAAAAGGTGTGGAAACATCTAAGACAAAAGCTATTCAAAAATATTGATGAAAACTAGGAAAGAATAGATAGCATTTTTAATGTTTAGGTTTTAGAATTTGTTTGACATTGGAGAAATTTTGGATGATTTGGAGATTAAATGTGTTATTCCAATTTTCATCAAGGAGTTATAAATAAGATAAAAAGAAGGAGATTTCAGGATCTTCATAGGGAATGGAAAAATGAATTTCTATGGCTAACAACAGAGCATAACCATAGATGATAAGTGAGTGAAGGTACATGTTTATGAGTTTCAATAGAACTTTAAAACATATCTGTTCAGTGAGAACCCAGAGAAGAGCAGAGTTTTTGATCCTTCAGGTTTAAATGCAAGATAATTTTCTGACAATAAACAAAAGATATTTTATGGTTTACTGAGCAATATACAACAATTACATTCAATAAATTGTTATATGGGGAATAAACTTGTTGGGTTAACAGTGATAAAAAGTATGCAATAATGCAAGTATATAATGTTTACCAGTTTTATTGGGTTCATAAAATACAACAACAATTCCTAAACATACTTACCTCCTCTCACACTTACAGCTACAGATACCATCATCACTTTTTCTCGACAAAGCATCACTAATGGGTTCCCAGTGCTATGATCATTTGGAGATACTTTAAGCATTATCTGTATTACCTTGTTGATTTTTGTAATAAAAAAAAAGTATGAATTTCCAGATTATTACTTTTGGCATGGAGGCAAATCAGGTCTCTGATATTTAGTGACTGTCAGTGATCTTATTCATAGTGAGATGGAGACATATATTCAGTTCTGTGGTGTTTCTCCTGTGAGGCAGCAATTGAGGGCAGTCCTTGACATTTTGGTCAGAATTTAGATTAGCTTTTTCTTGCACCTTCTATTATAGTCTGTTGGCTTTTCAGTCCACCTGTGGGACAATGGTGAGTATATGGGCTTGCAACACTGGAATCTGGTGTGTTTGATTCCCTATTGTGGACACAGCAGATAGCCCAAAGTAGCTTTACTCTAACAAACTTACCTGATTAAATGTTGTTCCAATCAATGTTAGGTAATCAACACCATCATTAAATGAAATAAAAAACAAAAAGAGTCCACTTTGGGATAAGCTGCCTTTGACTTGTTTTCTTCAGTTGGTTCATCAAGATGTGATTGTATTGGGTCTTTCCCCAGTTGGTTTTGAGCTTGCACATTACTTTACGACTGAAAGGTGTGGGAGCAAATATTTAGTTTTCTCTCCATCCCTGGTCATTGTGGTTCATGCAGGGAGGTTTAATTCTCAGTTACCTTATCCAACACGATTGTCAGAACTTCATGATTTAGCCTACCATCACCAGGTGGAAGTATATTATGACTCTCAAGTAATACATCTGCTCCTCGTATTTGGGGTTCTAAGACGGAATTTGTAGTTAACCTGAATATATCAATGTCCCCTGGTGGGAAAGGGTAAGTCTATGGACTTACAACCCTAAAATCCAACATATTGTTTTCCTTGCACAACACTTTGTTGGAAAACTCTCATCAACTTCATTGATGACGAGCTGGAACCATTGTTAGCATGCACAATGGTTCGATTTTCAACTTCTATGTTCATCCCTGTTGTCATTGGTGTTTTGAATTTCATCGGCTCCTGCAGGGGTCTTAGTTCCACACCTATTTGAGGGCCCCGACCCCAACATCATCCCCTTGGTACATTGGTACCCAGAATATAGTCTGTCTATATCCAAGGGTTCTGCTGCTTGTTCAGATTGCTACCAATGGTGGTGGTGATTATTGTATGCCTTCAGGGTCTGTGAGGGCTCGTCTCCGAGAATTTCTGGATGTGTGGTAACCTTAACCACAGATTCAGGAGTACTACAGGTCCTTGAGTTAGGATTAGTCATTTAGTTCACATCTTCACCACAATTATCCATCCAACTTATAGGGTTTCTGTCTCCCACAGATCCTCGGGATTTGAAACTTAGTTCTAGGGCTATCACAGTTTGGTTGGTCTGGGGGTAGTGAGAGAATCCTGCTAGTATTTCTGGTGTTTTATTCCCATTGGTTGTTGGGCCTAAGAAGACAGGAGATTGGTGTCCAGTCATTGATATTCTCATCTATATAAATGCATAGATTATCCAAGGTTCACAAGTTACTCATTCCTCAGTCTGAGTTGAAATTTTTTTCTGGGATTGTGGATGTCCAAGTTCGTTTTAGTTGGTTCCTATCTGCACATTATCTTGTTGGGGCCTGGCCAATAGTGATGACAAATCATGTAACATTCCACCCACAGTACATGAATCTAGTTCTGAGTGAAGAGCATACTTGTTCTGGTTGTGGTGCGGTTTCCCTACTAGGGTGCCAATCTTCTATTGTCACACCCATGATCTATACAAATGCGTTCTGTATGGATCATCCCCCTCACTGACCCCTCTATCTTCTCAATGTGGGATTCTAGCTGTAAGTATGAGTGGAGGTAAGTATGCTACAGAAGTTGACATTTTCTTAAATAAAAATGTATTTCCAAAAATACTTACCTCCATTCACACTCTCCCGCCCTTCCTCCCCACGAAGAGCTGGTGTTAGAGACTGGGATTGAGTCAGTCTCAAAAATGTGATAGCATTGTCTGTCTTTTGCATTGAGTCAGGATAATGGAAAGCAATCATACCACCCACTCTGGCCCTTTCTCTCTCTCTCTCTATATATATATATATATATATATGCCAACTGCTGAGATAGGGTGATCTGAAAGACCACTTGAGATATCCTTGTGATATGTACTGATATCTGTCTACTGTCCAATCTAGACTGTACTTCTTCTGTGGTAGTTGCTCTGCCTGCTTCCCTGGCTTGCACTAGCTAGCTTTTCAAACTAACATTACATGGTTATCCATTGCACTTTCTCCAGTAAAATACCTATCTGGCAGGTGACTGTTGGATAGTTAGGATGTAACAAAGGTACTGATTCTTGGGAAGTAAGGTTACAGTGACACTGTCTGTGTAGTGCAGGTCACCTCAGCATCTCCCATCCTACTGCTGCTTGGATGTCGGTTTCCAGGTAGTCTGGTCTTGGATCAGTGAAGGACTAGCCAACACATCTCCCCCATCCTACCACTGCTCGGCTGTCAGTTTCCAGGTAGTCTGGTCTTGGATCAGTGAAAGACTAGCCAACACATCTCCCCCATCCTACCACTGCTCGGCTGTCGGTTTCCAGGTAGTCTGGTCTTGGATCAGTGAAGGACTAGCCAACACATCTCCCCCATCCTACCACTGCTCGGCTGTCAGTTCCCAGGTAGTCTGATGTTGGATTGTTGTAGGACTCGCTTGCACAAGTCATCACACGTGTGGTTGGTAGGAATCCTCATGCTAACATGTACCACAAACAATTCCAGATGTCATCACATTTGCATTCATATTACATACCATCGCCTGGATGTTGGGTTCCTGGGTGGCCTGGCATTGGTTGTTATTGGGTCTGTTAAATTGAAAGTTACTCTTCCCTTCTGTTTCCTTGTAATGAGGTGAAGATGGTTGGGACACTCCTCCTACCACAGATCAGAATACACAAACC